AACCGCTTATGAAAAGGCAATTCATTTAAATAATATTCACGCTAGAAATGAGCTGGGTTTGGACCTCTGTTCCTCTTCAAAGGCGAAGGTCATGATTCACAGAATACGTTTAGAATTCAGAAGAGATCAAGAGAGACGGCTCTAGCTTCAACCGTGAGAGAGCTACGAAGTTGCTCACCACTGTCTGCTTCCCACAGACTTCATAACACTTCAAAGCCCAGTGGTAACTGTATAAACCACATGAGTTTACAAGTATAACTGTGCATTTTGTATTTATGGGTTTCGTATAATTCTCAGTGTAAACAGGGATTATTTCCTGAAATGTTACTAGCTGGTTGATCTTTGTGATGGAGAAATATCGTTTTCTTTGAGGTACGGACTGAATGTTTAGATTTTAATTTGACGAGTTTCGGCTTCAAACGGCAGAGGTGGAGCGGCCATAGAGACAGAACGTGTGATTATAAGTATAATAATTATTAGTTCCGAAACTTCAATCATTTTCCTGTGTGAAGTTTTAAATATTATTATCATGTGTTTCTCCTTTATTGAATTCCAGGCTGTTATGTTAGTGTATTTATATTAACACTTAAACATATTGTGTGTGTGTTTTTTGTAACATAAGACTGAAGAGAGACCATATTAATTTTTAATTGTTGCAAAAGTATTCGAGAATAGCTGATAATTTTTAAATCTGTGAATTATTTGTCGTGTTTATGCTTCTTTCTTATATTCGTTTATGTACAGTTTCTTATTTCCTGAATTATGAAGCTGTATCACATTAATGGGGAAGAAATCCTTAAAACATTACGCTATTAGAAAATTAATTCTGTAGACTGAATTAAATTAATAAAATTTCGACCAACAGAATTTACGGAATTTATACATACACAAGCCGACACACATGTTAGTGAGGTATTTTCTCAGAACTTAAACAACAAAGCTGAACTTAGCATCCTTCGAGATAAACTGCACATAATATGAATTCGGTAATACTACATAATGAAGGGAACAACATAATGTGTATCCTTCAATTAGAAAGTCGTGACCTGAAAATATCTGTGACGTAGACAGATTTATATCACCGAACCAAATCATGATTTAAATGAACCAGTTTCTCTCACAACAACAATCATAACATTGTAATAACATACCGGTTTCGTGTATTAAATGAAGACTTATAAGATTCTGAATTATTGTATTCAGGTACTTTATAACTTAGCACCACTGAAAGCATTAAACCCGACGAATCTCAAGAACCATTCGAACTCTTCCCTCTCTTCATTCCAACTCAGTATTTCCTGTACAGATACCGATTCAACCTCAGTTGCCAGACGACATAAATATTACAAATTCTTTATCTACACACATGTCAAAAATACAACCTATCATGATCGACAGTTCTCGTGGAATGTTCGATATACTTTAATATACTTTAAAATACAACTCACCTTTTACGATCTCCACCAAGACCCTCAGAACCTATTGTTATGAATCAGGTCTTTACCAGAATTCATAATGTCAGCAACAATATTGCAGCAGCCCATAAAATTTCCAATAGACATTATACACTCTAAATATTAAACGTGTAGAGAAACATGACATATCATTGACGAAATATTATTGCCATGTTCTCATTATAAATGCAGTACTTGTGTCACAGAACCCACGGGCTGCCTTTCAATGGCTGCTTGGAACCGTGGTTACATGGTTATTTTTGAATGTCCTGAAAAAATTCTGTACAACTAGAAAGAAAGTCTGTTATGTCTTTTCGGATACCACACAGGCTTTGTGTAATTGAACCTGTATTTACAGAAAACTGTTTGCTAACGTCAATTGTTTTGGACACTTATCTGTCTTTTGCGTGTTCCTAAATTCTGTTACTTCTTGGTTTAACATTTTATTGCGTGACGTACAGACATCACTGTCATTAATGGCAAAGAAAGTGAATGTTTTAAAATGTTTTGTAAACGGTATCATGTCACGATATGAAGTAGTTCTTCAACGTTGTACAGCGTTTAGTACGTTTTCAAAACGTTCTTGATGAGCATGAGTCATCCATCACTCGGGGTTATTCGGACGATACTGCGATTTGTTTATTGTCTGAAGCTGTTCAAGTGCATGGATTAATATTTTGTAGCTTCTGGGCCTGGAACATGAAAGGTTTCGGTGATGTCTCACAGCACACGACTCAGTTCCTGTCTGTATGTCACCCAGATACATGACACGGCGTTCGTAATGATGACTGTGGTGATGACTTCGACAATCAGCATCATCATAACAACAGGCTTGACGCTAACCTCCTTCTGCGTTTTAAGTTACAAATAAATTAATAAATAAATATATATAAAGCGTTCATGCCATTAATTCTTTCGGTTTAATGAAAATATTGTGAGATTTAAGGTTCACACGGCGACGTGTATGAAGTTGTCTGTCCTCTGGGATGTTGCCCTGATGATGGAGGCAGAAAACATCACTGAAACGGCAAAGTTCTACCAGACTACACGGCATAACATTCCAGAAGACAGTAATCGCAATATAGAGTACAGGCAACTCTCGGTTTACGAACTAGTTCCGTTCAAAGACGTTGTTCGTTATAAGTTTTTGTTCGTTATATGTATCTTGCATTCCTGAGCTTTTACGATACGTATCGTATACGTTAGCAGCCACTTTAAAGCATTAAAACCATGTACTAATTATCATATAATAATTTTCTGATAATTTGTGTAATAAATATATTTTTTAAAATTTTATCTATTTAAATCTTACAATTATGTTCACTATATGGGAGGATAATCTCAGGCGGGATCTGTTAGAGATAGGAGTTGAAGGAGACTGGATTGTGTTGGCCCAGGACAGGGTCCGGTGGAGGGCTTTGGATAATTCGGTGATGAACCTTCGGGTTCGGTAAGCCATCTAGTTAGTTAGTTAATTATGTTCACTATTGGTATTGGTATTTCGTTTTATAAGGAACTCTAACTATTGGCGACTTTAAGAAATTTTGAATGAATTGTGACGTTTGTTATAGCAAATGTTCGTAAATCGGACGTTCGTAAACCGAGAGTTGCTTGTATTCTATTTTCTTGTGCAATATGCCATGAAGATGTGCGACGCAGTGGAGGTGAAACTCCACGCATTTTAACCTCGGCAGTAGATGAGTAGTTACATCCCCCATTCTGGGGGATTGCCCTGACATTCTTTGGAAAGGAAGTTGAGTGGGACCCAGGGCTTGACTTTGTGAGGATGCCCAAGCTATTTGGTAATCTGCTTTAATAAGGATAAGTTTGCTGGAGACATTCATGTTAGTGGACTAGAACGTGATCTAGAACATTTTCACAATTATGATGGTGCTGAAAAAATAATACAAAGCTTTGTCACCGGTGCTCATCCGACCTTTGGAAGTGACAACATAATAAACTTGAAATTATCTTGATACTTTCCGCCATTTGTCCATCTATAATGCTTGAAGCAAGTCAGTATATGTGGACAGAGGAATTCTTGTATCAACTTAGACATTGTAGACATTCTTCAATAAAATTAGTTAGGTTCGTGTGCCATAAACTTAAAAAAATCATAATTCAGTAATGTACAAAGTTATTAAATACAGCGTTACAGAGAACAAAAGGTAGAAATATGTGAAATCAAGATACGTATTTTGGGGTATTATGTGAACAATATATATTTATTAACTTATAAATTGCAGTAAATACTGGGGGATGGTGTGGGTACCATAACCAAGAATTCAGAAACTCTCTTACAGGCTAGCAAGGAAATAGGCCTAGAAGTAATTGTAGACAAAACTAAAAACATGGGCGTAATACGGGATCAACATCAGCAATAATGGCAGAACATAATTGTAAGTAACACATCATTTGAAAATGTTTCGAAATGTAAGTATCTGGGAACAACAATAACAAATGGAAATGAGGTCTATGATGAAATTAAGAGCAAAATACATTCGGGGACCGCTTGTTTCCATTCAATTTAAAAACTGTTATCGTCTTGTTTACTATCCAAAACACTGAAGATCAGGATATGTAAAACAATAATTTTGTCGGTTGTCTTGTATGGTTGTGAAACATGGTATCTTACCTTGAAGTAAGAGCGTGGATTACAAGTGTTTGAAAATAAAGGTGCTCAGGAGGATATTTTGACCTAGGAGGGATGAAATAAGTGGGGAATTTAGGATATTGCACTAGGAGCTGCGTGAATTTTACGGGTCACCTAGCATAGTGAGGATAGTGAAATCTAGGAGGCTCCGATGGACTGGTCACGTAGCACGCATGGGGTAGGGGAGGCAACGGGTGCATACAGAGTCTTGGTAGGGAATCCTTCTGGAAAACGACCACTGTCAGACCAAGAAGGGGCTGGGAGGATAATATCAAGATGGATCTTAGGGAGGTGGGCTGTTAGAGTGGTAAATGGATGGAGTTTGGCTCAGGATCGTGTCCGGTGTCGGGTTTTGGTGTTGTCGGTGTTGGACCTGTGACGAAATTCGCTGAATCTGTTTTCAATAAAAACTTTTTCTTCCTCTTGCATGAAAGTAAATTTATGAAAGAAATAATTTCTGAACAGGTACTGACTCATATGATCCACCAAGTGGTTTCGTACATAACCTCAACAGGGCACAGATAGAACCCTTAGAACCAAACACATATTGTGCGTCGGTTTTGTTATAAGAGATATTATAATTTTACTGGTGTACGGATTTAGATACTCCAGTCTAGTTCTAGGAGAAATACTGAGCCATAATCAGTATCATAAAAGTAGAAGCTGTAAGACTAGAATCTTTCACGGCGACTGAATGCAGTGTAGTCTACTCCAGTGGTATTCAACCTGAGGTACGCGAAGACATAACATTAGGGGGTACGTGAAATTTAAAAAAATATATATTATTTTATGATAAACACTAAATAATCAGTAATGTAATTTATTTAATTTATTTTAGATGTAGATTATATACTATGTATAACTTTAATTATACACCAACAACTTTGGGGGTACAAAGTTGAAGAGAAATTATATCTGGGGGTACGCGAACAAAAAACGACGAATACTACTGGTCTACTCGAGCGCTAGGCCGTGTAAGTTAAAATCCGTATCTTCCATCATGAAGAATTTGTGTGGTATCAACCCCTCATGACGGAGACAGAGAAGACTTTGTTTAAAGCAAACTCTAGAAGAGCACAGATTGTCTGCTAGTTCCATTTGGTCACATGAAGAATGCGGGGTAATAACTTAAATTAGGCCACGACCGCTTCCTTACAAATCCTTTCCAATTCATTAGTCACTATCATTTTCTCATTTGACGCCATATAATCTGAGATACTGTAAAACCGTCGTTAAATAAAGTATAAATAAATATTTTTACGCCACACTGGCTAGGCACAAACACACTCGCAGCATATTAATGTGTGACCTTGAAATTTAGTATGACCAAAATTCAGCAGGTTTGCCAGTCGTACAACGAAAACATTCCAACAATGTCCTTAACTTTTTAATCTTTCCCCTAATATCTTATGAGTTACAGGAATGACAATTTATTTATTACTGTTAAGAGAACTCATAACCTTCTTCGTGGAATAATTTTCGTATTTTGGCATTTACAGTCCTTTAACTCTCGGAATTACAACATTCAAAATATTAAATACATTTTTGTTTCCGTTAGCAACGTTCAGATTTTCTTTTGTTGCGTTTCACTTGTTTCGTTTCGTAGCTGACTATCTTGTGACGTAGAATCATTGCTATTTGTGCTGTGATGGTGATGATAGTGGTGGTGGCTGACGGTAGTGGCGAGTGGCGTTGCAGGCAAACAGTTCCCCAGCGATGTTACTGCATCTGTAGAGGTTGCTGTGGCTGAAGACGACAGATCTTTATATAAACACAAACCACAGAATCCAGGCCCGGGATACGACTGTGGAAAGGCTGTTAGACCACTTGCCAAGGCCAGATTTCTGCAATGAATAAGACGGTAAATATAATAACTGAGTGTTTGATTAGCGTTAGGATTTTTTAACGTGAGTAAGATTTATTTTTCAGGAGTGACTCAAATCTGTGTCAGACACAAGCACACCAGTGCAATGCAGCCAACAGCTTTGGCCATACCAACTGGAGATAAACAATTATTATGCTCGCTTATAGTGTGTCATATTTGATACAAATCAGACATGCCAGAAAAGCAAACAAATACACCCCTGCCTGGCGTCAATTAAATTAAAACCATCATTATACATCCTTTGTATCTCTTCAGAAAGCATTTGTGTTTCAAGTTGGATGTAATGGTTCATGGATGTATCATATAGAGAAAGAACTGAAATTTGGATTCAAGGTCTCACGGCTGGAAAGTAGGAAGATGACTGTAGTAACGTTACGTCATGTAGTCTGGTAGAAGATTACCGACGTTTCAGAGGTGTTTGTTGTCTCCAGTCCTAATGATGGCGGCAGGAAACATCTCTTAAACTTCGGGAAACTTCTATCAGACTACAAGGTACAACGTCTCAGAAGACAGTGGTCTTCAAAACATCTACCATGCAATTCAGTATTTGTCTCCCTATCTGCTGTCTAAAAACGTAATAATTAAGGTATACGAAACTAATTTTACCTGTTGATTTGTATGTATGTGAAACTACATGTTTTACATTAAGGGATGGACATAGATTGAGGGTGTCTGAAAAGAGGGTGTTTTGGACCTAGTGATCAAGTGACGGCTGTTGGAGACAATTGCATTATGGGAAGCTCTACAGATTTTACTCTTGACCAAATACATAAAGGTGATCAAATCTGGGAGGGTGGGATGGTCAGGGTATGCAGCATTCGTGGGGAAGATCAGAAATGCATACAAAATCGTGATTTGGGAAAACCATTGGTTGCTTTGGAAGTAAAACCAGTGGGCAAATAGACATGAGTTACCAACGCTCATTTCATGCACTTTTCTCAATGAATTTATGTAAAGAAAAGGGCAATAGCATGGTTTCATAAGGAGGGGGTTACCATGAAAACAGCTGCAGGGCCAAGACACTGCGAATTGCAGAACAAACAAATTAACAGTCACTGAGACACTGAGGAATCAGGGGCAGACTATAAACATTTCGTTACGACTTGTGCTGCTGGTTAACAGCAGATTGTTAATTAACTTGTCTGTTTTGTCGTTATCTAAAACATTTGTCGCAACTATCCACCTACTCGAACATAAAAGGAAGATAAGAATTCAAATTACTTTACATTTAATTGTAAAACATAGTATTATGTACCTTGTGAAAATATCACATTTTAAGCTGATTTATTGCTGTGCTGTCCTGAACAGTTAATTGAACTTACTGCGAGATAATGAAGTGAGAACATTTGCCTGCCCTCTTAATTATCATGTCTATGGTATAAGTAATTAATCCTTTATCACGATCCAGACCTTTTCGTGATTATTGGCCATCAGAATTCTTGTCCGTTGCCCTGTTTTTAGAACCACGCTGTATAAATTAAATCATGCCCATTAATTTACAAACACTTGTTTTCGTGTAAAATAGTCATTCACAAGATAGAGCTTACTCATAAACATTTTAAATGCTATTTTTATGTGCGTTTTGCATGAAAATCATAGAATGAACGCACAATCAGGAGGTCTGTCTCTCTGTGTGCCCTTCATATTATTTCACATCATTAACTATCAAATAGCTTTTGATTAAGTTTAGTGGTGGAAGTATATACATTACGAAGTGTTATGGAGTGTATTTAATGCCTTCATTTGTTTTGTGCGTGTTGGATTATTGGGCACAACTCGATAATCAGTTGTGAGGATCGAAATATAATTCTTGAATTTTTATTGCATTTTGCTAAGTTGCATTTGTAAAATCTGTAGCAATTAAATAACAGTCAATGGAATGGTTGTTTATAGATGACATTTAAATTGGCGCGGACTTCGTGCATAACGTTGATATTACGTCAATTGTAGTTTATGTGATATTTTTCATTGTTATTCTCTTGTAATGTTGAAGGTTATAGCCACGGTGGTCTAGCGGTTAGAACGCTAGCCTTGTAATCCTGGGGTCTCGGGTTCGATTCCCGGCGGTGCCCGAATTTATAACTTGTGTTGGGCAAGGCCGTGGTCTAGGCAACACGGAGTTTTCCTCCGTGGCATCCCAACAATTACTCCATTCACACACAGAAGAAGGCAATGGCAAACCACTTCTGGATCATCTGCCAAGAACATATATGAAGAGGTCCCAGTCCGAGAAAAGGATGGAAGGATCCTGTTCATATGGACCTGTCGTCAGACAGAACACTAAAATAATAATAAAAATAAATAAATAATGTTGAAGGATAATGTGAGGCGGGATCTATGGGAGATAGGAGTTGAAGGAGACTGGATTTTACTGGCCCAGGACCTTAGGGTTCTGTAAGCCATCTAGTTAGTTAGCTAGTTATTCTCTTGTAATAGCATCCTTTGGGCTACATTTTATGTAGGCCTACCGATTTATAGCTTTATATCATGAAGTACAATATTAGTTTTTAATACGTTTCTTTTATCATTGGAAAGTTTGGTTAGGTTTTTCTTCACGTTTTAAGAAACTTTAATAAACATTGCGGTGTGTTATTTGAACTTACGAGGGCTGCGGCATCAGGGAAGGATCAGAAAGGCAGAGGAGGGGACGGAAAGAAATACAGTACAGGAGGAAGTAGGGGAGGCGATAAAGGGGCGTAGGGGACAAAGGGAATTAAGAATGAGGAGGGATTAAGATACGAAAGAAATCGTTCCCCGTTGAACTTCTACGGGCTCCTTTACACTACTGAGGTCCCATAAGACCGGAATTATGGGTTATGTGTCGTGCTGTATTTCCAAAAATGCTCGGCGGATGGGGCTGAAATATTCTGTTTGGGTAGTTCAGTCAGCATAGTAAATGACTACGGACTGGACGACCCGGGTTCGATCCCCGACGGGGCAGAGGATTTTTCCTCTAACCTGTGCGTCCAGAACGACTCTGGGGCCAACCCAACCTCCTATCCAATGGTTACCGCGATACTTTCCCGGGGATAAAGCGCTGCCAGCGCGTGACGCGGACCAAATGACACCGCCTCTCCTCATGAACGCCTACATGGCGTGTAGCAGGACAGCTTTCTCTTTTCCTTCTTCTTTCTTGTCATCACTACTATAGCCTATAAGAAACTTTGTCGATATTCTCGAAAACATCCCCCCGACCACTGTGACCTTGAACACCAAACCGGTTCAAGAAGAAGATCGTGTTATTTAGGTCCTGGGTTAAAATCTAGGCCCGGACATCGGCTATCATGAGGTATTTCGTGGTTTCCCTTAGTACCTCCAGCAAATGTCGACACAGTAGGCCTATGTTACATTAGACTAACTACAGCTTCATTCCATTCATTATTCAACCTGAGCTACTGGGAAATGAATAAATAAGTTGAACAGCATTAATGGTAAATAGTGGTAATTTATGTTGAAATGTTTCCCCCGCTAGATGTCAGATACACACAGCAACGAATGTGCGAAGTGTTTCATTTCGTTTCAGATTCACCAACAGTAGGCAAATAAAATTAAACCTAGATTTTATCTTATGTGTGACTGTTCTTATACTTTTTCTTTCATCTTAATAAACTTATCGGCATCAAATACTGAACTATTTGTTGTGCACAAGAGCGTTGAGAATGTTGAAAGGAAGATACATTTACGAACTTATGCGTATTTATGTGTATGGGTAATTTCTTTATGCGTAATTATGGTAAAACTGAAAGCGGTCGATAATGATTACAAATGTCGTTTACTTAAAAAATGTACAAATTCCTGTACTTTACAGCTACCCTGATGCAACCATACAAATTGATAAACACAGCAGAAACATGAGTTTCAGCTTGCTTCTACATGAACCGAAATTAACTAGAGTCAACAAACAAGGCAAGCTACAGAACCTAAGTTGGAACTGGATTTGTGTCAGAATAGAAAGTATTCGACGTTAGTAATCTGATCGTTTATACGTTTCATGTTAACGTAAATTCATATATGTACACGGTATAATATCCACTTAGAATAATAACTTCAGTTAGATTTCAATAACGAAAGTTTATGGGTATGGGCCATTAATAATAAGCATTACTGTAACAAATCAAATTATCCATTGCTTCAAAACATCTGTTGTCCTATTCAAAGGCATTCGTGTATGTAAGTAGTTAAACACAGCTACACCACAATAGGGGAGGGAGGCTCCCCCACTTAAAATGATTAACGAGGTGGTATTAGCACGCCTGTATTGCTACATTTGATAGGTGATCGTACTACGTTTTGTTGCGCATGCGAACTAGTCATTGTGGGAGAGAGGTGAGGACTAACCACATGTAGGTTATACACGATGGGCATTTGGGAGAAACAATTGCGATCGCCTAAGCGTAACTTGTCTGTCAATGGCCCACGACATGCTATTATTTAGATCAGGGTTAGGTAAACAGCGGCTCTTAGGATGGAGACGGTCCGTATAAATAAAAAGGGATCATGGAATTTAGGTATGGTACTGTGATATTACTTTTATTTCCTTTTAAGACAAGTATTTAATAGTTGAACTTTTCGTCCTAGACAAGTGCGTTGCAAATGTCAGAATATTGTTCATATTATCCGTGTTGTGGCCTCTATATCACTTGTCACTCACCCGTCCTTACAAAGCGCTGATGAGAATGGTAGCGGGGAAAGGATCCTGAGAAAATGGCCGTATTCTATTAACTGTGTACAATTTTCCTACTGCACGACACTGACAACTTCAAGATGCATCTGCTACGTCAAATCTCAGCATGAATTTGAGATATTTCGAAATGGTCTGAATGTCACAAATATAATACTGCAGCTTATCTGCTGTGGGCGTCAAAAGTGGACTCTTACAGACCGACATCGTAAACTTTCTTTTCACAGATTAAAACCAGTCATCTGCAGTCATACTGGAAATCATATAATTTATCAGGA